TGCAGGCCGGGCGACCCCGGGAAGAAGAAGCACATCTGCCACATCCCCGAGTGCGGCCGCACCTTCCGCAAAACGTCGCTGCTGCGGGCGCACGTGAGGCTGCACACGGGAGAGAGACCCTTCGTGTGCAACTGGGTGTTCTGTGGGAAACGCTTCACCCGCTCCGACGAGCTGCAGCGGCACGCCAGAACCCATACAGGTACGGGCTGGGGCCAGTTTTGGGGGAAATCACCCCAAAATACTGTCCCAGACACACACAGGTATGGGGTGGATCCTATCATGGGGGAAAATGCCCCAAAATCCTGTCCTGGGCACACACAGGTATGGGACAGATCCAATTCCCAGGGAAAATGCCCCAAAATCCTGTCCTGGGTACATAGATGTAAGGGATGGATCCAATTCTGGGGTAAACGACCCCAAAATCCTGCACAAGGTATGGGATGGATTGTGTTCTGTGGGAAACGCTTCACCCGCTCTGACGAGCTGCAGCGGCACGCCCGAACCCATACAGGTACGGGGTGGGTGTGATTTTGGGGGAAAATGGCCCAAAATTCTGTCCTGGGTGCATAGAGGTATGGGATGGGTCCTGTTCTGGGGGAAACAGCCTCAAAATCCTGACCCAGACACACACAGGTATGGGATGGGTCTAATTTTGGGGGAAATCACCCCAAAATCCTGCACAAGGTATGGGATGGGTTGTGTTCTGTGGGAAACGCTTCACCCGCTCCGACGAGCTGCAGCGGCACGCCAGAACACATACAGGTACGGGAAATCCTGGGTTATCCCCCATTCCCAGGAAACAGCCCCAAAATCCTGCACAAGATACACACAGGTACGGGGTGGGTCCTGTTTTGGGGGAAAATGCCCCAAAATTCTGCCTTGAGCACACACAGGTATGGGGTGGATCCAGTTCTGGGGGAAATGCCCCAAAATTCTGCCCTGGGCATACACAGGTACAGGATGGTTCCTATCGTGGGGGAAAATGGCCCAAAATCATGCCTTGAGCACACACAGGTATGGGACACATCCTGTTCTGGGGGAAACGGCCCCAAAATCCTGACCCAGACACTCACAGGTATGGGGTGGGTCTGATTCTGGGGGAAATCACCCCAAAATCCTGCACAAGGTATGGGATGGATCCTATTCTGGGGGAAATCACCCCAAAATAGTGCACAAGGTATGGGATGGGTTGTGTTCTGTGGGAAACACTTCACCCCCTCTGACGAGCTGCAGCGGCACGCCAGAACCCATACAGGTACGGGGTGGGTCTGATTTTGGGGGAAAATGGACCCAAAATCCTGTCCTGGGTGCATAGAGGTATGGGATGGGTCCTGTTCTGGGGGAAACAGCCTCAAAATCCTGACCCAGACACTCACAGGTATGGGGTGGGTCTGATTCTGGGGGAAATCACCCCAAAGTACTGTCCCAGACACACACAGGTATGGGGTGGATCCTATCATGGGGGAAAATGCCCCAAAATCCTGTCCTGGGCACACAGAGGTATGGGATGGGTCCTGTTTTGGGGGAAACGGCCCCAAAATCCTGTCCCAGACACACACAGGTACAGGATGGTGTCTGTTCTGGGGGAAACAGCCCCAGAATCGTGCCCAGACACACACAGGTATGGGATGGGTCCTGTTTTGGGGGAAAACACACCAAAATCCTGTCCTGGGTACATAGAGGTACGGGGTGGGTCCTGTTTTGGGGGAAAATGGCCCAAAATCCTGTCCTGGGCACACACAGGTATGGGACGGGTCCTGTTTTGGGGGAAACGGTCCCAAATCCTGCACAAGGTACAGACACGTACGGGACAGATCCTATTCTGGGGGAAATGGCACCAAAATCCTGCCCCAGTACACACACGTATGGGGTATCCCAGGATAGCCCCCATTGCCAGGGAAATGGCCCCAAAATCCTGCACAAGGTGCACAGAGGTATGGGACGGATCCAATTCTGGGGGAAGCGGCCCCAAAATCGTGCGCCGGGCACACACAGGTACAGGGCAGATCCAATTCTGGGGGAAAATGCCCCAAAATCGTGCCTTGAGCACACACAGGTACGGGGTGGATCCTGTTCTGGGGGAAAACACCCCAAAATCCTGCTCTGGGCATACGCAGGTATAGGGTATCTTAGGGTATCCTCCATTGACAGGGAATGACCCCAAAATCCTGCACAAGGTACAGACGGGTATGGGATATCCCCCATTCTCAGGAAACAGCCCCAAAATCCTGCACAAGGTATGGGATGGATCCTTTTCTGGGGGAAAATGCCCCAAAATCGTGCCTTGAGCACACACAGGTATGGGATATTCCCCATTCCCAGGGAAATCACCCCAAAATCCTGCACAGAGTACACACAGGTACAGGATATCCCAGGATATCCCCCATTCCCAGGGAAATCACCCCAAAATCCTGACCCAGGCACACACAGGGACAGGATATCCCAGGATATCCCCCATTCCCAGGGAAACCACCCCAAAATCCTGCCCAGACACACACAGGTATAGGATGGATCCTATTCTGGGGAAAACAGCCCCAAAATCCTGCCCAGACACACACAGGTACGGGACAGCCCCTTTTCCAAGAAAACCACCCCAAATCCCATTGTGGGTAAACAGAGGTCTGGGATATCCCAAGATATCCCCCATTCCCAGGGCAGCACCCCCAAATCCCACCCCAGACCCTCCCAGAGTGTTTGAGGTTGGAATTTTTGGGGGGGATTGAAGGATTTTGGGGGATTTTGATGTGTTTAGGTCATTTCTGTTGCTTTTGGGTTGTCCTGGTGACAGAACCGTCCTGGAAAGGGGCACGGGGTGGTTAAAGTGGCATCATTTTGGGGTGTCAGCTGGCAATTTTGGGGTGTCAGTTGTCACTTTTGGGGTGTCCCCAGGCTCAGGTGGCACCCCCTGAATGTCCCCTTTGTCCCCACACAGGTGACAAACGCTTCGAGTGCGCGCAGTGCCAGAAACGCTTCATGCGCTCCGACCACCT